CGGCCCGGCTCGACCGTCAGGCCTGTTTTTTGAGCCCGAGCCCGGCCCAAACTTGTAAAAGCCCGTCAGGCTTCGAGCCGGCCCGGCCCGTCCTTCAGGAAAACACAAAAACGATGGGTCCAGGCCCGGCCCGGCCCGGCCTTCGGGCTCAAAATCTAGGCCCGAGCCTGGCTCGGGAGTGGCGTCGGGCTGGGCCAGGTCGGGCTTTTTCGGGTCGGGCCGTTCGGGCCGGGCTGCCCATGGCCAGAACTACTCCCGTTGCAGCTTTTTGTGAGAAGATCGAAGGATCGGGCAAGTGCCTTGGTCCACCTGCGGTGGCTCTCCGGTCTTGTAATCCCGGACGGAGGTACTAAGACACAATGACCATGCACCTATCATCCTCACACATGCATTTGTCTTGTTAGTTTGAGAAAAGAATGTGGCAAAAGACATCACAAGATTAGAAGTAAATGGTAAAATATGACAAGAACTTTTAAATGTGGTACCCGTTGGCATAAGCCGTGGCTTGATGAGTTGATTGTGAAAGATGCAATTTACTCAAAGAAAAGACTTATGCAAAAAAAAAATGAGAGTTAAGAGTGCACATTTAACCGAACTTGTGTGAGCATATGACCCTTGCTAGGTAAGCCAATTTTAAAACGTCTTGAACTTCTAAACTTGTATCGACGTGACTATATAAGCCCCAATTGATTCATTTTTTCTCATGTAAGTCAATTTTGCCACTCGTTGGATGGGCACCCATTCTTTTCCCTAAAGACCCTCCTTTTCTACTTCCTCTTCCAGTAGCTTGCCTCCATGCCTCTTCTTCGGCTCCGAGGTCTCGCCTTGCTACCATTCGATGCACTGCCCCTACCCCCGACGAGGTCCGCATAATCCGAGCGGGGATAAACAACTAAAAGCCCTCCTCCTCCACACGCAACGGTCAAGCCCCCGCCCCATGCCGTCTCCATTTACGACTCATTCCCTGCCTAGCCTCGAAGTTCCGCCTTGCCTCCCTTCCTTCTGCCTGAAAATCGACTTAAAACCAAATGTTTTTTTTATGGTGACCTGCACCAATTCAAGTTTGCGACGCCTTACAAATAGCAAACGTGAGCTTGTATACGACGCCAAACATGAGTTTGCGGACAGAGCCCAAACTCCCAACATGTTTGTGTAAAAGACAACAGTGCATAGAAGTCTGCTTGGTTGCCCTGGCCGGTCAACAAGGTTTGGTGCGGCCAAAAACGACAGGCTTTTGGCATCTTTACGAGTAGTATTTTTATTTTTGATCGCCTGAGTTTGCACGGCTCTGACTAGTTGAAGGTCAAAGGAAATTAGACCCTCTCTAGTGGTTGGTGGTTTCAGTTGGTTCAACGCGATCGTGACTGCCCAGCACATATGGGATGCATATACAAAAAAAGAAGTTAATTGGCAACGTGTATAAAACATCCTACTACCTGGCCACATGTACGTGTTGTCATGTTTTTGGGTACAATCCTCTAATTAATTTAGTTAATACGTGTAGGCGTCGAGAGAGGGAGAGAAATAATCGAAGAATATGCAGGATGAAGCTCTGCATGCCCTGGCTCGGCTCGGCTCGGCTTAGGTGGCGGCTGGGCACATAAGCCGACGGACCGGCGACGTATACGTATGAGCTGACGTGATGGCACGAGTCAAGGAGTTGACTCGATAGTCTTTCCTCGCAATATTCTACTGCTAGCACAGAAGACGGGACTACTAGCGTTCTCAATCAACACTTTGATCACTGTTATTAAGTAACATTGTTTTAGTTTAAATTTAAACTAAAACAGCATCACTTATACCATTTCCAAAAGGAGCGAGTACATGGTTATGGCATTGGAGTTTGCAGTCTACCGGCTCTACTCCAGAATGAAATATACGACCACCACTGTTTCACTTCAAGCTTTATATTGGCCTAACAACAAAAGGAACAAGCTTTCTTTTTTAGGGTAGAACAAGCTTAATCTTCGTGACACAAGACCGACCCTTTTAATCCACATCATTCAAGCCCTCTTTTTCGTCTGTATGATTTGGATTTTGTGAGTATACATTCCAGTATGTATATCCCACTAGCACGAAAAAGCTGTAGTATGTCGAAGTCGAGTGAAGATCGCACCATCTCGCGCCCGCGTGTCCGGTTCCTCGGAGAAAACGACCCGTCGCATTGCCGTTTTACCACATGTGGGTTTAGGACAAACGCAAGAAAATCCAGAGGATGGCGAAAGGATAAGGGTTCGGTTAGGTTAGGATCTGGTGCGGGGCGGGCCCCTCGACCAGGAACCTGGTTGACCTTTCAACCCTTGATTGGCGGGGAGGAAGGAGGCAAGGAACCGGTCAGGATGGCTCACTGGCTAGCTAACTTAACTGCTCCCAACTTCTTCAGTCTCTGCGTACTCAGTGCAGTCTGCCGGAGTCTGAGGCTAGAGCATCCAAGCAAGTATAAGTAAAAGAGTAGAGTGGTTGCTTAGCGTACACGTTGAAAGGCTACGCGCCCTACGATCGGGCCCCGTTGAAAGTTCAAGTCGCACTTGTGCGGCCGCATGGATTTTCAACAATTCCATTCGTGCATGTGCGTATATATAATGTCGTGTGTTGATCCACAGGTCTAAGCCCGTGCCTGGACGTTTCTGAATGGGGTCCGTCCAAGGGTCCTCTTAACCAGGCAACCGGCAAAGGAGGAACATTTCCTTTTTGAATGTTTTGACGACTTGCTGGCCACGGTTGCCGCCCGGTAGAAACGTTTTACTATAAAAAGGCACCAGTGAAAGGTCGTGCTGTATCATTCTTCGAAACTGTGTTCTGCATGTTTGGATTCTTCGAAACTTTTGGCTCAAAATTCCATTAGGAAAAAAAAGGATGTACGAAATTCCGAATGAACAACGTGCCTTCAGTAAAAAGAAAAGAAACATATAGTCTTTCTCAAGTACGATACCGCGTAACTTTTGCATACATAGTCAAACTGTCAAAGGGGCAAACTTTGCTTAATTACTAGAGTAGAATTTGAGTTCCATAGACTTAGGGTGCAAGCATACCATGATGTGCGAGTAACACGGTAGACAGACGTCACGCTGAGGTTGAAAACCCACTTGACTTATGTTTTACAGAAATCAAGTTCACAGAACCCAAACCAATCCTCAAACTGAAATCTGCAACATCTGGAAATCGCAGACTGAAGAAGATAATGTTTCTTACATCTGCTTCTGAATCTTTACCATCTTTGCTGTTGCTACATTCATCACGAAATATAATTCCATACATATAAAAAGACGCGACCTTGATGTTTTTTCACAGGCCTAGAGTAATCGTATCAAGTCGACTGGAGGTGATTCAAGAAAAGAAGCAAGAGCAGAGGTAGATTAGGCTTTCGTTGTCTGAGAAGATCTGTTTACCATGTATACAGCTCGCGAGACAGCGAATTCGCTGACCGCGCAAGGTCGCTGAAACGTGCTGTCTTGGCTCCAACTAATGCAACATCAACAGCAAAAATTCTAACTAAAAAAACCCAGCAAAATTTCAGCCTGACCACAGAGGTTTTTCACCATCACAAGAACCACACACATATATGGAATATCGTATATATAATAATGATAACAAAATGTGGAATAGTACAAAACATCAAGGCATCAATGGATGAAAAAAAGTAGGAGTAGCTTACTTGCCCCAATCGCTATCGGCGGCGATTTATTTTGAATTTAATTCTGTGGGCTTCTTGTTTCCTGCACAGCATGCATCCCACCGCCACACGGCACAACAGCGATGACTGAAACCTACCTCTGCTTCCATGCCAACAGGTATCCAATCGCACGTCGCCACGGCACAGATCAGGTGATCTGGGTTCACAAGAAACCGGACACCTGGGTGAGGCATCTCCATCACAATAATCTGGTCAATTTGGCATGGAGTGTACTACTGTAATTCTGTTTGGATGCATGCATGCACGCAGCACCCAGCATTTGCTGCCATATGTTTCAGATGATGGTTGTGCACAGAATTGATGCCCCTAAAGCTCCCAAGAGATATAACCATGTACATGAACCTGCTTTACCCAGCTAAAGCATGCAGACGACGCAAGAAGTCAACAATAAGCAAAGCTTTTTGGTGCAAAGTTATGCCCGCTGATCAAGTCCTTTTCCTCAGCCTGCACCACAACCCGTTCTTTGTGTGAATTGTCGCGCCCGTCACCATCTCTACTTCATTGGGCGAGCCTCGCAGCTCCACGTCAAACTTTTGCAATAGCAGGGCCAAGGCCACTGTTGACTCCAGGAGCGCAAATTGGTCTCCCACGCATTTGCGTGGTCCTCCGCCGAAGGGGAGGAAAGCAAAGTCTGCTATAATCTGGCAAATGAAGTTTGATGAGGTCTTAGTTTCTTCAAGAAAGAAAGAGGTCTATCAGTAGGATAGAATGACGAGACCAATGTTCAGGTATACCTCGTTGGGATACATCGCGCCAGGACTCCGGTCAGGATCAAACCCAGCCCACCCTTCTATGTTCTCATCCTTCTTTGGAACTGTAAACCTCTCGGGTTCAAACTCATTTGGCCTATCCCAAAAGTATGGGGACCTATGGAGATTGTATATCTGCAGTGCCAGCATTTTCACATAAGACAAACTTCTCAAGGAGAACAGAATAAAGTTTGGAGTCGATCATGAAGGTAACTTATATTGGTACCAAAACTATGAATATCTGAAAGAAAGAACCAGCTTAAATTTGCCAATTCCCCATCTTACCGAAAGAAATATATCGGTTCCTGCTGGTATTTCGTATCCCTCTTTCGCTCCGTTGTACCCACCTATGAATTTGTGTGAATTAATTTTAATAACACAAGTCAGGTATCACATCGCATGCCCTTTGATATCTGGCACATGTTTTTCTGATTGTTGGGAGAAAGCTGTGTGTGTTAAAGAGAAGATGGAACCTGGCAATTTATCAGGTCGGAGAGAGCGCCTGATTAACAATGGTGGTTGAGGATACAAGCGAAGAGCTTCAACAATGATTAATCTTATGTACCTAGAGCACATCATGAATGCAGTATGTGAAATTTAGAAACATTTATGGAGCATTAATACAGTAAAACTCTTACTAACACATGGTAAGAAAACGCTAGTGATTTTGCAAGCATATAATATGCAAACTATATGATGATTTTTTTTAAATTGACACCTGAAAAAAATAGTGAATAGAAGAATCAAACATAGTTCAATTTACAAGAAATGGTAACATAAGTAACATACTCCGATTCTTGAGCTTTTCCGCAGTGATTACCCCATCGATCAGTACAGAATCAATCTCTGCCTGGGCTTTTCTCATCTTCGTGGGATTCTGTATCAACATACAGTATATTGTATGATTTCACAATTTAATGTTAGTTATCTGTTCATGTCGGTTAAAATGTGTACCTGGGCCAGTAGAAAAATAGACCATGTCAGAACAGCCGCAGTTGTTTCATGTCCGGCGATAAGCATTGTCATAAGATCATCCCGAAGCTATCACAAACCAAGAAATTTGTCAATTTATTTGCCTGATTCAAGTAGAAATACAAAGTAAAACTTCGAAGGGTATTACAACATTGGAAACTCCCTGTGCTGGAAGAAATAAATGGTGCAATGAACAAGTTATAGATGTTCCATTCATACCAAATTAAACATTACATGGGCGATTTACCTGGCGGTCGTCAACATCAGCTCCCCGCATGTCAACAAGGAACCTCAGTAAGCTGGCATCCTACAAATATAATGGCAACATTACGAACTGCCAAACTACCATAGTTATTTTATAAAGCAACCTGATAAGACCAGCATGACCCAACAAAATCAGGGGTAATAGGAACCAACCTTCAATGATGAGTAGTCTCTCTGCTGGAGTTTTTCCACATCAGCTTCCTATAAAAAGCAATGTTGAATTTAGTACAAGTTCCAGAAAAAGGCACCATGCATGACTAAATTTTTTGTTGGCACGAACCTGTCTTGTTTCTTTTGCATTTTTAATAAGATCATCAAGGCAATCATTGATAACCTTGAGGTCGCTGTGGAACTTCCGCTGTCTTGGCACTATCCATTGAGTTAAAGGAAGATTCCAGTAAGGGATGTAAAAGGTGGATCGATGCTCAGCTTCAAAAAGAGTACCATATACTGCCTGCACAATAGACATAGAAACCCCCCAAAGAAGGGCCGACAAAATAAGCAGAAGAGCATTAGTCATGTCTATTCATCCTAAACATGCAAGATGAGTACTCTTCTGTACTTTAACTCAATTTTGAAAACCAGAACAGATGCACTTCTCATGAACAAATTATCATCAGATAGTATAACTACGTAGATATTACACCAACCTTGATTACAGGAGATTCCTTATTAACAGAGTCAAAATCAAAATTGAACACTCCCAAGCCAATTATGTCGAGAGCCAAATTGGAGAATTCCTCTTCAAGGTTCACTATGGTAGATTTGTCACCATGGTCTCCCTTTTCAATAAGTGCTTCAAGTTTCAATATGGTTCTCTCTGAACATTTGTTAAATACTCTCACCATAGCTTCTATGAATAAGGCATGGAACCCAGGAGTTATAACTGCAGAACACACAGAATGGATAAGTTGCACCATTACAAAATGCAGTGGTTAAGCCACGGTCAAGCTTGTGCGGTCATCTGACCACACAAGATTTTGGCAGAACCCTTAGATTCTAGTAAAAAATATGCAAAAGCTAGTATAAAAGTTGCAAACACACATGTATCTGATATCACAAGTTTAAATTGACACCATATGCTTGTTTTCTTGGCACCGCCACTGACAAAATGTTTTGTGAATGCAAACACGAGGTAGGTTCACGTAGGCTCTGCAATAGTTTAATTATGTTGAAAAGTTGCGCCATAAGGTAATTCCCATTTATGATAATATTTCATAAACCATGCTAGTTGACTCAAAGTCCAAAGAAGCGCTAGGAGCTTAGGACCAATTAGCAGGACTGGAGCTACTATCATAAAGCATACACAGGTAATCTCTATTTTTGAAAGATAAGTTAACCTTTGGTTGTTAGGTCGAAAAAAACATGAACAGGATAGTGGATTCATATCAATGGACAACAGTCAATCAGCTTCTATTGACTAGCAGGAACTTATACTGGTGTACAGAACATGAAGTATGAATGCACTCAAGGAAGCCTTAGAAGTGCAAATATGATTCAAAATCCGACCTTCTAACCTTTTCTCCTTTGCTTCCAGGTATCAAGGTCAGCAGGTATAAGACCCTTCCCCATTATTGGTTCTAGAATTTCAGCGAGAACTCCCTGATTTCAAGTAGAAAAGTATGTAAGAAGTAAGCTACTAGATCAATCCAGCAGTTATTCCTTACATGTATTCTTTTTTTTCCAGGGATTTTCCTTACATGTATTTAATACTGTTATATGCACAGTTCAGTCACGGGAAAACAACATATGCTACAAATAAGTTGCCAACCATTATAGTCCGAGCTTATCTAGAGTTTCAGATGATCTGTGTACTCATTTACATATGTTCACACAGTATGTATTAGAAAGCATACCTTATCATAACAGAAAGCATTTTCTCGCAGGATGTATCTAGCAACAATTGGATCAGAGACGACAACAAATGATTTGGGTCCAAAAGCAAGTTTGTAGACAGAACCGTGCTGCAAGGATAACAGGATATGTTAGCATAGCATGAGTTTTCCTCATGGTTGCTTGATTATGAACCTAACAATAAGGTAGTTACAATCAAATGAAATTCTACCATATGACAGCAGCACAACTCGATCAAAAAGACCAGACATAAACTATTAGTATTCACTTTGTGATGCTCCTGCTACTAGCGCTTTTCTTTTTATCTCGGCATGCAGCTCGTAAAGGCATAATTTTTCACTTTTATATGCAAGTGCAGTATTTCTGAATAGGGCTGTGAGAGGCCACATGTTATATGACTTGCATGGTGCATACAAATATGCCAAATCGAGAAGTTCATTTTAATGTTGATGAACACCCTCTTAAATGATGTTATGCGATTTTTTAAGCTGAAGGTGAGACGTCAACGAACAGAAGGTTTTCTGAGAGGGTATGATTAGCAATGTACACTGCATATAAGGAGACTTGATGAAAAAAATCAATGGCATGATTCAAATAAATATGGTTTGAACATGGAGTTAGAAAATGGCAATCAGATTATTACCATGCAGGTGGTCATCTGGTCAAGAGTACCAAATTTGTGGAATTATATCATGTAAGTATTCACTCAAATATCATGTACGCACGTCACGTGTATCTACTATTCGCTGAGCGCAGCTAATACATGCTTCCAGTAGGCAGAACAAAGAACTGCAATAAAAAGAGTAAACAACACGAGACAGAACGGGATAAGCACCTCGAGGAACCAATCATAGAGCGAATAGAAAAGGGGCCGGTCGAACAGGTCAGTGACAGCACCTTCGGCAACCGGCATATTCTTGAGGTTGCCGCCAGCGAGCAAATTGGTGAGAAGGTTGCTGGCGTTGTCGAACAAGTTCCTCTTAGGCTTAGTGGTTTTGTCAACTCCGGGCGACTGGCATCTGCATAAACACCAAAAATGAGGGCTAGGCACATATTATACTCTGCATAAACCAAACCTGGTAATTTGACAGGCGCCAGCACCACCACGTTTCGCATAAAGGAAACCACCAAGCATTATATCTTATCAATTAATGGGTCAAACCAACAGGATGCTGATAGACCAACAAGCATTATTAATTAATGTACTCTGTACTAAGTGAAGAAGGATAAATTCATCGTGGGCAGCTACAGAGTTAAATAGGCAAGTTATTTCAAACAAATTAGCTATAATGTGACGGGGCTTAGCAGGGCACACGGTGCAGAGGCAATCGATCGAACGCCTGATGGGCAGGGCACACCGGCGACTAAGTGGAGAACTGTGGAGTGTGAGGCTGGGGATGGCTTCCGTACCTGACGGGAAGGAGGCGGCTCCTCCCGTGAGCTGCCGACGAGGAGGGGTAGGAGGAGGCGAGGCGCTGCGTGCCGGTGCTGGACCTCGGGAGGAGCGTGGCGGCGGTGGCCGCGCTCATGGCCATGGCGCTGGAGCGCGCACTCTCGCAGTGGGAGAAGGTTCCACGGGCGCTGGCGTCGTGGCGGAGTCAGACGATAGATAAGGTGCCTCGTCCGGTAGCGTGGCTAGACTAGTGTGTGCGCGCCATGTGAGATCGCCGTCCGCGCCGCTGGTTGGAGATCACGCGGCGTCCGTCGGATCGGAGGACGGTGGCGTGTGGTCGGTCGGTGTCAGGACCCAAGCCAAGAGCTTACTGATGAAGCGAGGCAACTCACAGGAAGTTCAAACGAACGACGGTCCAGATGAACACCAGAAGAGATCGACGGCTCAGATACCATCCTCGCCATCTCTGACCGTTACTGTTATTTTTGTCGACACCGTTAAGACTTGTAACAGTGGTTATCACGCGTGGCTGTGAGCTGTCGTGTGGCTTAAAAGGCAAGCGAGGGGAGGAGAGGACCAAGAAGATTCTTAGCATATGCTGTAGTAGTTAGAACCCTAGCTAGTGTACCAAGTCGGGGTCTCTGATCTCGCACCATTATCCTAAATTGTACCTCTGAATTGCTACAGTTCCCTATGAAATCGTGATGATCGAGTTCCTCTGAATATTTTGATCCTCACAAAGGTATCAGAGCGTCGGTTGTAATCCTCGGCGGCGACTCATCGGCGGCGAATCAGGCTGTGGAGAGCAGGAGGTTGGGTTCTCTCGTAAAATCCCTCCCGTCCCTCCCAGTTTGCGGCGGCGGTGGTGTCAGGTGGCGGCGACACGGCGGCGGTGAAGTTCGGGCGCAGATCTCCGAGTCCGATCCGGTTGCTGAGAGATCTTCTCTCGGTGGTGAAATTCCGGGATCTGACGGGATCCGTGCGTCAAGAGGAAGTTTCCGTGGAGCGAGTCTAGCGGAGCAGTCTTCAGTCGCAGATGGCAGACACAAGAGCCAAGGTGCAGATCACGGTAGATCGAGTGGAAAAAGAGGTGGCAGATTTGAGGGCCGAGGTAGAAGGCTTACAAGAGCTTAAACAAGAGGTGTCAAAACTCCGGTCGGAGATGGTCACTATGCCAAAAGTAGATGCCAAACTGTCTGAAATGAACGAAGGAATTCAACAAACATTGCAGTTGATTTTGCAGAAGATGAGCATATCAACACAGAAAACAGAGCCAGATTCTTCAGGCGTGAAAGAAAAGGAAGATCAGACAACTGTCAATGGTCATATACCAGTTTCAATGCAGAGAGAAACAAATACTGTGATGAGAAATTTAGAGCAAAAGTTCAGAAGCCAAGAGCAAGTTCTAGTCACAAAATCAGCCGGCCAATCCACGGGTTTACCAGTGTCACAGTTAGTAACCGAAAGCACAAGAGTTAGTGCTGTGCCACAAAAAGAAATTCCAGTTATAGGGCAGTCCAGAAGTGCTCCTATAAGTGTCAGTGCAACTGTACAACCTCACACTCTGGGTTTTTCAGGAAAAAGTGGGTATTTTGCTCCTGTGATTGCTCCTCTGTTCTCTCCACCTCACACCTACAACCCTATCACAGGCCAATACATCAATACATCCACAACAACTCAAGGGGCTCCTCCGGTATACCAGGCAGTGGGAAATCTATATGCAGAGAAATCAGTATTCCACTCAATTAGGAGGTCCATCATGCTTTGCAGAAGCAGTTTTAAAAGGGCCAAGGTTGGAAATTCCCCTTTTTAATGGAGAAGATCCTATTGGATGGCTTATAGCCTGTGAGAAGTTCTTTGAGATGACTGGCACTCCATATGAGCAATGGATGAATCTGGCTACTGGTCACTTACAAGGTAGAGTGTCTAATTGGCTGAAAAATATTTGTGTGCCATGGCAAATGGTGACTTGGCAACAGTTCTGTCAGATGATTGCTGACAGATTTCAGAGGCAAGTGTTCATGAAGCAGTAGAATTACTGAAAAATATTCAGCAAACCAACACTATCACTCAGTACATTGACAATTTTGAACAATGTGTGGCACTAGTCAAAAGAGATCATCCCTGTCTCCAAGAAAATTTTCTGTTGAGTTGTTTTATTGGAGGTTTAAGGAGTGACATAAAACATGAGGTCTGTGAACAAAAACCCACTGGGATTATAGAAGCTTATTGGTATGCGAAAGTATATGAAAAGGCTGCCGCTGCTAGAAAAGTTCAGTGTGTTTCCACTTACAAGACTAGGAATTATGCTCCTTCCTACAGAAATCAATCAACCCCATTACAAGTGCAAGTACCTTCTCCCAAAAAGCCTATTGTTCCTTTTCCAAAGGAGGCCAGAGCTTGCTGGTACTACAGGGAGCCATGGACAAGACAGCACAAGTGTAAAATAGGAAAAACACTACACATTCTGCAAGAACTGGATGAAGATGAGGACAGTGATAATACAGAAGAAGGGGTAAATGCAGATCAAACTTACCACACCACTCCTAATACTCCTGATAAGGAAAAAAGCAGCAATCCTGTAGAGAAAACAGCACGGGCCATGCATATTTCAGTGCATGCTGCAGAAGGCACCCCTGGACCAAACACATTCTCTTTGATTGTGGAAATTGCAGGGAAGAAAGCTACAACTTTGTTTGACAGTGGATCTTCATACACATTTATTAGCAAGGACTTTGTGGTAAAGAGTAATTGCTACCAACAACCAATTCAGCCAAGGAAAGTAACTGTGGCTGGTGGAGGAAAACTCATGTCACTGTCCAAAGTGCCAGCAAGGGATTTTAAAATCCAAGGACATACTTTCTGTAGCAGTTTTAAAGTCTTGGAGCTACAATCTTATGACATCATATTAGGAGCAGACTGGATTTACCAGTACAGCCCTAGTTGTCTAGATTTAGTAGAAAGACTGTTGGTGGTTACAAAACAAGGACAACCAGTGACCTTATATGACCATTCAATACCAGAAAAACACTGTGTATTATCAGCAGCTAGAATGGAAAAGTTACTACAGAAAGGTGTTATGGGATATATTCTGCAAATCAACGAAATACAAACTGAGAACAACAAAAATCCTGCACCTCCTCTAGTGGCACTGCAACCTCTACTGAAAACATATGCAGACATATTTGCAGAGTCCACTTCACTCCCTCCAAAAAGATCTTATGATCACAATATTATACTGCAAGACGGAGCAAAACCCCCCAACTTAAGGCCATATAGAGTTCCACACTATCAAAAAGCAGCTATGGAAGAAATCATAAAGCAGCTGATTAAAAAAGGAGAAATACAGGAAAGTTTCAGTCCTTTTTCATCTCCTGCAATTATGGTCAGGAAAAAAGATGGTGGCTGGAGGCTATGTGTGGACTATAGGGAATTAAATGCTCTCACTGTGGAAAACAAGTTTCCAATGCCCATTATTGAAGACCTGCTAGATGAATTGCATGGGGCAAAAGTGTTCTCCAAATTAGACCTCGGGTCTGGATACCACCAAATCAGAATGGCAGTAGAAGATATTCCAAAACCTGCTTTCAGGACTCACATGGGTCATTATGAATATACTGTGATACCTTTTGGACTGGCTTGCGAACCAGGCACTTTCCAAGGTCTCATGAACAATGTGTGTGAGGAAATAAACGAAACAGAAGGAGAAAAGTGCATCCTGGTTTTCTTTGATGACATGTTAGTTTTCAGCAAGTCCATGGAGAAACATTACAAGCACTTAGAGAGCACTTTCACTGTCTTAAGGAAACATGAGTTGTATGTGAAGCAATCTAAATGTATATTTGCAACAGACCAAGTGGCATATCTGGGGCACATAATTTCTGACAAGGGAGTAGCTACAGATCCAGACAAGATAAGATCAGTACAGGACTGGCCAGAACCTGAGAATGTCACTAAACTAAGGGGTTTTCTTGGTCTGACTGGATACTACAGAAGATTTGTGAAAGACTATGGTCACATATGCAGACCTCTCCATGATATGTTAAAGAAAGATGCTTTTAGTTGGGGGCCTGAACAAAGCAAAGCTTTCCTTACTTTGAAGAACTGCATGACTTCTTGTCCTGTTCTGGCTATGCCAGATTTCTCCATACCTTTCACAATAGAAGCTGATGCATGTGCAAAAGGAATAGGGGCAGTTCTGATGCAAAAGGGGAGACCTATTGCATATCTCAGTAAAAGTTTAGGACCCAAGTCTGCAGCTCAATCCATTTATGAAAAAGAAGCAATGGCAATTTTAGCAGCCCTTAAAAAGTGGAGACACTATGTGTGGGGAAACAAGCTGATTATTAAGACAGACCAACAGTCCTTGAAATACATGACTACTCAGAGATTAACTGAAGGAGTACAACACAAGCTACTCCTCAAACTCTTGGAGTATGATTACTCCATTGAGTACAAAAAAGGGAAAGAAAACACTGTAGCAGATGCTTTGTCAAGAAAGGATAGCATATTTCAAATACACTGCAACAGTGTGACTACAGTAATTCCAGCATGGACTAAAGATGTGATGAAAAGCTATCAGGGAGATGCAGACACTGACAAGATCTTGAAAAAAGTAGCTGCAGACATTGATCCCACTCCAAAGTTTTCCACACACAATGGGCTATTGAAGTATAACAGCAGGATTTATGTGGGGGCCAGCACAAATTTCAGACAGCAATTGTTACAAACATTTCACTCCTCTGCTTTAGGGGGACACTCTGGCATTAAAGCAACTTATTACAGGATCAAAAAGGTGTTTTACTGGCCTAACATGAAGAAAGACATTGAGGTATTTGTCAGTCAGTGCCCTGTGTGTCAATTAAACAAAGTTGAGCACATATATCCTCCTGGACTGTTGCAGCCACTACCAGTGCCTGATATGGCTTGGTCCCACATTACCATGGATTTCATTACCGCATTGCCTAACTCTCAAGGCAAAGAAGTTATTCTGGTGGTTGTAGACAGGTTGACAAAGTATTCTCACTTCATTCCATTAGCTCATCCCTACACAGTCCAAACAGTGTTTCAGGCACTAATGGATAATGTCATTAAATTGCATGGGTTGCCATTGTGCATAGTGTCTGATAGAGATTCTATATT